GCAAATGGGCTGCCCCAAGCACGTGCTTGCTTTGCTGGTGCCTAGAGCCGCCCCTGCTTCCCACCGCCCCGCGCGCTGCCCAGACCCCCCCTGACACCCCCCCCCGCAAACCGCCCAATGGACCGTCCCGCCCGCGCTGCCCAGACCCCCCCTGACACACCCCCGCAAACCGCCCAATGGACTCTTCCCGCCCCGCTCCAGCACTGGCCGGTTCCCCCCTGGGCTGGGCCGGGGCTGGGCCAGGGCTGCACGGCCCCTACTGCCCGTGTCTGGGCAGCCCTCGGCCCTCGCCCTCCTTGGCTCCCTGCCGAGCCCGCGGGCTGCCCGCCAGGCCCCGGCCCCGCCGGGCTGTGCCAGCGGCTCGGCCTGGGCAGGAGAACAGGAGCCAGCCCCGCTCCCGGGGGACGGACTCCAGCCCGGTGCGGCCCCATCGGCTCAGGCCAGCGCCCATTGCCCGGCCACGGCCCGGCGAGCCCGCTTCCGCCTCCGCTCAGTCCCCAGGGCCCCTCCCTGCAGGAGGCTGCAAGCGCTGGGGGGCCCCCACCCCATGGGCCGTGCCGCTCCCAGCCCAACAACCCCGACTGGCACCTCTGGGCACTGCCCCAGCACCAGTAGCCATGGGGGGGCCCACGGAGTCCAGCCCAGCCCTCTGCAGAGTCCGGCGGGGGGACAGCGAGACTGGGCCGGGGACAAGTCCCCCATGCCCGGGGCAGTAGGAACCCTGCTGGGAGAGGACAAGCTCGGCCAGGGACTGGGGCACCCGCCCCCAAGCAGTGCGGAAGGGAGAGCGAGGGGGGCCGCCCGGGGAGACAGTGAAGCAGGGGTCAGCCAGGTGAGAGGGAGCCAGGAGAGCAGAGCTGCAGAGGCAGTGCTCACAGCTGGAGCCCGCCCCACCTGTGCTGGACGGACAGGGCTCCTGGTCAGTCTGTGCAGTGTGGAGATGGCAAAGGAGGGTGCTGGAGAGAAAGCGGGGTGGGGGAAATCAAGGGACCGATTTTCCAGGGGGGATGCAGGAGTGTAGCTTCAGGGCCAGGGGAGGGTCAAGTGCCGGACAGTCAGGGCTGCTGAGTCAGACTCGGGAACAGCTCAGTCATTCTCTGAGCACAGGGCCAAGAGATTGCATATCTGTTACAGCCAGAAGGGACCGTCAGATCGTCTCGCCTGATCTCCTGTAGATCAGAGGCCTGCGTGGAGCCGAGGACTTGGGCTAGACTAAAGCATTCCAGTCTTCAGCAGCATGAGCCACACGCAGAGTCCAGGAGAGACCAAGGTGCCATCAGTACCCAGTCACTTGCAGTGGCAAGGTGGGATGTGCCCAGATGATCCCAGCAGGTAACCTGTGCCCCCCACTGCCAAGGCCGGCAACCCCCTGGCCAGGTTCCTGCCAATCTGCCCGGAGGGGAAGTTCCTTCCAACCCCAAATCTGGCCATCGGTTAGACCCTGAGCATGTGAGCAAAACACACCAGCCCAGCACCTCGTCAGAGGGTTCTTTGTACCATCCTGCCAGGTGTCCCAGCTCCAGCTGTGGCCAATCACAGAATATCAGGGTTGGAAGGGACCTCAGGAGGTATCTAGTCCAACCCCCTGCTGAAAGCAGGACCAATCCCCAACTAAATCCCTGACACTTCCAAGGAAAGTGAAAAAACAATCCAGCTGGCTAAATGGACATTTGGGGGAGGGGATCCTGCCTGACCCCAGCTGAAGAATGAGATCTGATTATTACTTTTGGCCCTAGATTTGAGGCAGGTGACAGACGGGCTCAGGGTCAGGCTGCACAAAGGGTAAAAGTGCAGAACTGGTACCAGAAGAAACGTCACTGGACAAAGCCAACAGCTTTTGTTTACAAGCTCCTAGGCCTGGGAGGCTGGATGGGGCTGAGAGAGAGAAGGTGGAGAAAGGTTGGCGGCGAAGTAAAGCGGTTCACTCGAGGAAGCAGCTGAGTGCTGGCCATCTCCTGCTGAGCAGCGGTGGGTGGCAAATGCAGAGGAGAGGAAAGCTGGGGCTGCCAGAGGGCAGCAGAACCTATAGCGCCAACCGCCAGCCACAACGGGTCCAGAGCAAGAAAGCCAAGGCCAATGAAACTCTCCCTTTGAGCTTTGGCTTCTCCCCGTTTGGCACCACAGGGGGCTCTGGCCGGGCTGCCGTCTGGCCACAGCTCTTTGCTCCACAGGACAGTGGGAAGGGGCCCTTTGCAAACGCTCCTGTATGGCCAGGGGAGGAATTGGCCTGCCCCAGTGATCACAGTCCCCACTGACCACGTCCCAGCGCTGTTCCTCCTCCAGGACCAAGGGCAGTTTCTAAATGAAAGACGGCGCAGATCAAATCGAGTTTCCTTTATTTCATTTGAGAAGAGTCGTATACAATTTCAATTATTTGGGTCCTGCAACCTTTGGAATTGCGTGAGCGGACAGGAACACAGGCAGCTGGGAGATTCTCCTTCTGGGCCCGTCACAGGGACCTTGGACACAGGTGAGGCTCCAGGCCGGCAGGGCATGCACAGGAGGGCACACCCCAGGCATGAGCACACCTCAACGAGACATACAAGCATGGAGAAGCGAGGCCCCTGCCACACCCATCTCATCCTCACAGTGGCACCCTGCACGCCCTGTCTCCAGCGACAGAGGGTTTGGGGTGTTGGGAAAACTCCCTAGCAGGCTGCAGAGTCCCTAGGCCAAGGAGGCAGGGAAGGAGATGGGCTTTCTTAGCCTACCAGGGCAGCAGGACTGCAGTGGGCTGTCTGATCCTTCGGGGGACAATATTGCTCAGACTAAACAGTGGGTTCACCAAGCAGCCTCCACTGCTCCCCACCAGGGCTCAGCTCGGTTAATATGGCTTTTACAGACGTGCCTGAGCATCTCCCTGCCCCATGTCACCCTGCTGTGAGTCTTCTCCCGGCTAGGCTGTGCTAGTGGATGGAGCCAGGCTGCTAGAGAGCCTCACCCCATCCCCAGTGTCTAAGGGAGACCGCCAGGCAGCGGGCTCACTGCTGCTTCTGGCCAGGATGGAGATGGAGACTGGCCCAGTAGCACACAGGCTGGCTCAGACCCAACCAGCTCATTTCACAGAGGGCTTGTCACTGGGCACAGAGAACAGGAGGTTAAAGAGCAGGCTGTTCCCTTGAACCCGGAGCCAGGCGAGGGAAGGCGGATCACTGCTGCAGTCTAGGACTGAGAATCTCCTAGCACCAGCAAGGGCTGGGGGCAGGAGATGGCCATGGGGAGCGTGGAATGAGACCCGCTCCAGACCTCTCCTCCCAGCTGCCAGGAGGCGCTGCAGTCTGACACTATTACACTCCTGCTCCTGCAGCCGTACGCACTGCTCCTGCCTTTGCAAGCTGGGGTAGAGTCGGCTCGGGGGTTAGGTCTTATCCCGGGCAAGAGAGCAGCCTTCACCTCGTCCAGCTGGGTGAGGAGAGAACAGCTCCTCCCCCCCCCAGTGCCAGGACAGTGGGCGCCTGGCCACCGCCACGCCTCGGGCCTGTTTTAGACACTGACAAGAGGGGAAGTGGATACGGAGACAGGCTCCCCTACAGGCACAAGGAACAAGTGACATGAATGAAACGCTCCCCTCGCCCCCCTCCTGAATTGGAGCCTGACCCCGTCCTATTTCCTTCCCCCGGGCTTCAGGGCATGGCTGCCAAAGCCCGACGTCACTGAGCCTGTCCTGCAGCCGGCAGCACCCTTGGTAAGGCATCCCACGGGAGCTGGGTTTGGCCCCTCTCCACTCCCCCGTTTGGGTAACTGGAGAGGTTCTATGGCAGTGGGCCACCCGCCTCCAACAGGAGGTGTGGCTTGGGGCGCCAGGGCCCAGCATGCAGCACTCCCTCCTGATCCCAATGGCCAAGCAGAGTGATGCCTGCTGGGAGCTGTAGTCCCCAAGGCCCTCGCTGCCACGTTCACTGGAGGGGAGAGTGGCTCTGTTCTATGGTGCAGCTCTTTGGAAAGCCGCCAGCACATCCCCTCAGCTGTTAGAGTCTGGGGGGGCTGCTGGGAACAACCGACACTTTGTCAATGCAGGTTCGCCCTGGCGGCTGCCCCCTGGGCAGGGCAATGGATCAGAGCACAGTAGGTGACCTGAGGCTGCGTGGCGAGAGTCAGCAAACTATGTGACAGCGGTTGGGGCCGGGGGAGTCAAAGGGGAAGAGAGCTCGTGGGCTGCCACCACGGCACCTCAACACCAGACACACCTTCAAAGAGGAACAGAAGATCATGCACTAAATTAAACTGAATGCATCTGTCCTGTCAACTCATCTGGGATAGAAACATCCCAGTGGATGGTCCAAAGCCACATGAACTGAGCGGGGAGGGCTGAGGCGCTAGGCTAGCCTGGGCAGGCAGCCACAGATGTCTGTGTGCTGCAGTGTGCACACCTTTCAGGGGCTGCTCTTCCGGTAACGTCACCGTTAAGACAGCAAAGCTCAGGGTGTGTTACAGGGCCGGGCCCAGGTGGAGAGGCACAGTCTGGCAGGTGAGCTGCCAGAGTTACAGATGGGGGTGGGGGAGCTGGACATGAATAACCAAAACTAAATCACAGGGTGCATAAAGCTTGGACATGTCGCCTCAGGGAAAACCTCCCCAGCTACCCCTGCGTCTCAGCCTGCGCAGACACCTGCTCCAACCCCTCAACGCAGGCTACACTGAAAACACAGTCAGCACCGTCCTTCGTCACTATACAAGAGGAGATTAATGACGTGAACGTCGTCCCCAGTGCTCCAGAGAGCCAGACTAGTGTCCAGAAATCATGGCCAAGGCCCAGTTCTTGATGGCTAGCGTTGTGTTTTGCAGGTATATCCAGGAGGAATAGGTAAAGCTTGTCAGATGGTTTCTCATGCAGTCCCAGGACACTTCTCCACTAGAAGAGTAAGGAGAACAGGTTATAGGCTCACAGCATACAGACAGCTGCTAAGCAGCTCTTATACCCACGCAAGCCACTAAAGGAGACAACCGAAATCTACTGCAGGGAAAGTCCACTCCCAAGTTCGTGCACAGACACCCATGCACAAAGTCAACAGGACTTCTCCGGCATTCCCTTGATCCCACCAGGCAAACACCAACACCTCTGCTTGCTAGTCTGTGCCTGACCACTCACCGAGGGCAGTAAGAAAATAAACAGCTCAGATCCTGGGGGATGAGCTCCAGCACAAAGCCCTAAAGAATCAAACATACAGAATCACCTGCCTTGCTCCGGACAGCTGCACGTTCCGGGGCATTTCACATCACACACAAGTTCATGTACCCGAGGCTGGGCACTCCCAGCCCCCAGCAGCAGAGTCCATGACAAAAGCGTAGGGGCTGGGCAGTATTTTAGCCAGAGGGGAAAAACCCAGGGGATTTTGGAGGAAGGCCAGACAGGCTTAGGGCCAAGGCACTGGACTGGGAGATCTTGGGTCAAGCCTCAGTTGAGTCACTGACTCCACATGTGACCTCAGGCGTGTGCCTTAATCCAAGTCTCGGCCCCGCCTCTGGAAATGGTGATCACTAACTGTACATTCTTTGGGGCAGGGACTGTCTCTTACTGTCTGGAAGTGCCTGGAGCCTGCCATCACAGGGGGGCTCCAGGCACTTCTGCAATACCCACTAATCACTCCCAGGGCTCTCGTTCGAACACTCCCCTTCTACAGAACTCGAACGTGGACCCAGGGAATCACTCATGAACTGCTCCTCTTCTGTCTAAGCAAGGGCAGCCGGGCCTGACCCCGGGACAGCGCAGCCTCCCCTTTCTGCCCCCAAAGCTCACCACCAAGACGAAAGGAACAAGAACAAAAGCCGCTCAAGCGGCCAGCGCTGCTCACTTGCAAGCGTCCACACAGAGCTCCCATCCCCGCTCGAGGGCTGTGCCGATGGATTCCAGCGCTGGCAGCAGGCAGCTCTGCAGGAGGAAGAGTAACAGCTCCTTGATGCATTCAGCAACATGCAGCACGAAGTCCGGGACCCGGGCCTGGAGCTGAGAGCGAAGGGGCAGAGAGAGCAATTTGCTTAGCAGGGGCAATGTGCTCTGAGAATCTATCCGCCTGGCTCGCCTCAGGCCAATTCCACGCTGGCTGCAGCCCGTCAACGCCCGGTCAGGTAGAGCAAACCGTGGGCTGCAAGGGCTCTCTCTGGTCTGGGGAAAGAAACCTCTTCACTAAACCCCACCTTGGTAGATGTAACGGCTGCTACAGGTGTAGCTGCAGTAGGCAGTGCCCCGCCCCCACTGGCACTCACACTGCTATGGGCCCAGCCTCCTGGGGCTAGTTCAGATCCTCACATCACAGCACAACACCCCCCTGAAAGACAGGCGCCTACTCTCAGCACTATCGCCAGGGACAGCTTGTTCAACAGCCTGAACTGCCCCCTCCTGTCACTTGTCTGTGACGAGCGTGACCTGGTGTCATTAACCAGAACAGGCAGTGCTCTGCAGCAGGTTCTACCTCCCGAGCTGGTGAGCAGGCAGCTAATGCAAGTTCTTCCTTACCCACTCAGTGAACCAGGGCAGGTTGTCTTTGACCCAAGAGATCTGAGAGGAACATTTCCCAGAGACGTAAACTGCAGTCTCATTGGTCTTTGTCCAAACCAGTTTCAGGTTTGGTCCCAACACCGTCAGCACTTGGGAATAGTAAACAGGGACGTTCCTCTCCAACCAGCTGGAAGAGAGAGCTAGCATCAGCATCTGAACAGCAAAGGCAATTGGGGGAACGGAACGACAGTGAAACCTGCCGTTGGAGACCAGGCTAGAAGATTGTATTAGGAACCTTGGGGACCATTCGCGAGTGGCTTTCCAAGACAAGGGGATTTCCTAATGGCTGTGGTCTTCAGTGCATTAGTAACCCCACATGCATTCATGCTCATTTGGCCCCTTTGCTTAATTAAAAACTGTCACTGACCTGTATCCTTCCAGGGAGTAACGGGACACTTTATTCCAGGCTTGTTGGGAGACCGACAGGATGCCCGAGGAGCGAAGGATGTGAGCAGAAGAAGCTGAAAAAGAACAAATGACTTTGGGAGAGGAATTTAGACAAGGTTGGCCTGATTTCCGAACCGCAGCGCCCGGCAGCGGGCAGTGCTCAAACACAGCATGGTCTGCAAGCTCTCCCTCCAGGGGCTGCAGTTTGTGCAGCTAGCAGGAAGCAAAGGCTTTCAGGGACAGTTCCGTTACCGTATGGTTAGAGCAGGGCAGGGGCAACTCTGTGGTGGGCAGGAAGTCCTAGGCACACAGGGAACCCAGCGCGGAGAGCAGCCTCAGGGAGAGATAGCTACTGAGAAGGTACAGGTGGTTCTGGGAGAGACGACAGCACCCAATATTTAGCACGGCTTCACAAGGGCCGCGTGGACCCAGCCACACGGGTGAAGGAACGGAGGCTGCTTGCGTTGCTTTATGACCTTGGCTCTGAGCAGGCCTTATTCTCCAAAAGGCTCGCAAAGCTCAGTGGTGCCACAGCCACGTGACTGTGCAGAGGCAATACACTAACATCTTACTGCTCAGGTAAGGAGGTGGTCTGGGAATGTTGCAACCTGGGGAGGTTGTGAAGGCGAGGACTATAACAGCGTTTAAAAGAGAACTAGATACATTCATGGAGGTTAAGTCCATGAATGGCTATTAGGCAGGATGGGTAAGGAATGGTGTCCCTAGCCTCTGTCTGTCAGAGGGTGGAGATGGATGGCAGGAGAGAGGTCACTTGATCATCACCTGTTAGGTTCACTCCCTCTGGGGCACCTGGCATTGGCCACGGTCAGAAGACAGGATACTGGGCTGGATGGACCTTTGGTCTGACCCAGTTCGGCTGTTCTATGTTGCTGAATGTTTGATGAGTAAGGCTGTGATTCTGTCACAGAGGTCACCGAAGTCACGGATTCCGTGACTTCCCGCAACCTCTGTCACTTCCGCAGCTGCTATGGCCAGAGCAGCAGCCCCGGGGAACGCCTGAGCATCGGTCCCTGGGGGTGGTCCTGGAGGCTGTTGGGAGAGCGGTCTCCGGGGGCCTCGGAGCAGTGAGCCCCCACCACTGGAGCAGGGTCTCCCCCCCCAGAGCAGCAGGGCCCAGGAGCAGAGATTTAGTAATGGGTATTTATAGTAAAAATCATGGACAGGTCACGGGCCGTGAATTTTTATTTATTGCCCGTGACCTGTCCATGACTTTTACTAAAAATACCCATGACTAAAATGTAGCCTCACTGATGAGTGAAGGGTGAACAGAGCCATACGCCCCTCGTGGGTGCCTGTGCATCCCGGGTGGCACATGCTCACCCCTGCTGGCTACAGAAGGGATGAAAGCATCCACACAACACAGGTAACAAAGTCCACAGATTCCCAGCAGGGAGCCACAGGGCCCTGGAGGAAACAAGGTAGCACATACTCTGGGATGCAAAGGAAGAACTTGCTGGGGAAATCAGATACTCCAACAAATCATCAAAGCCGACGGACACTTACAAATTCACTCTCTCCTCCGAGGATCTAATCGTGCCCCACTCTTAGCCAGGTTTCAGTGGGGGAAGAGCTTACCTTGAAAAGACCCCTGTGTCCTGATATCATGCACCAGGAAGCCGGCAGCGAACACCAGAACCACAAGCAGCAGTCGAACCCAGGGAAAGCCACGGCCTTTCATCTTATGCAGCAGGTTCTTGGAAACAGAACAAAAAGTAACTGATGCTGCTAAACGCAGCTGGTTCCAAACTGCTTAACCATAGACTCCTACATCGGAAAGTTGTGTCGTTCTGTTCACTTCCCCCTCCCATCTGTTGTGTTCCTTCCAGTCCTCCGGCTGCCCTGCGCAGTGCCTGGACTTCTCAGAGCCCTATGCAGATGGTTCCCCACTCGCTACGCTTGCGCTTAGCCACACAGTCCTCTTCTCAGCATGTGGCCGCCTTGTTTCCAGTCATTTTACACAAGGCGCCAGGCTCCTCTTTGCAGCTGGAAGCAAGGAGAAAGAGCCAGCAGTGCCCTGCAGGCCCCTCTGAGCACCACTCCCATGCTGCTCTCTGAAACCGAGTAACTCCTACAGACGCCAGAAGAGAAAGCAGGAAAACAAACAGCCTGAGGACTCCCGGGGCAGCGTGGGGGAAATCCCTCTCCTATCAATGCCCAACAGGCGCTGGGTACATGGGGTTAGTTCCGAAGCCTCTTCCGGCCTCCCTGCCCCAAAACCGCCCTGCACGGGAAAGCCAGTCACCTTGCAGGTGGCGTGGCAGGCTGCTAGATCCTGGAGGCTGTTTGGTCCTTTCACAGCAAGTTCTTCGTTAGTCACTTTGAACGAACGAACGGTTTCCTGGAGAGATTTTCGCACCTTGAAGGAAGACAGACACTGAGTTCCACAGCACAGAGACGTAACAGAACACCCCGCTTGGGCAGAACCTCTGGGGGCAGCCACACTGCCCTCGCCGATGCAGAGCACCAGCCCACCCAGAGCCTGTTCCCATGCTGACCCCAGTCCAGTTAATCAAGCCTCACTCTATCACACTTCTACCCCCCAGGCAGCCTAAATCCACCCCCCCAAAGGAGTGCCACTGCGTGACTCTGCGTGAGGGGGTCTGCACCACTAGTCGTGTTCAGTCAGCATGGGGCAGTGACCGCAGCTGCTCTAGGATCTGTCCCACCGTCAGCACAAAACAGATTCTCTGCCCAATATGGGCGCTACACTGGCAGCAAAGTTTGGGCAGCCCAACTTGAACAAACCCCATGGATTTCAGCAAGGGGGAGGCCAGTTAGGTCACATGTAGTCCATTCCCCTCCTCTCAGGGGACCGGGGGGAGTGGTCTCACGTCTGTTTTCCAGTCTAGTGTTAAACGTTCTAATTCAACCTAGTTTAAAGTCCAAGAGCTGCGATCCAAACGGCAGACATGGAAGATGGGATGCACTGGAAAGCCCACAACAGGCATTCGCTGTGGCCATGTGTGACGGAGCAGGGAGCGGGGCAGATTTGACTTGGGAAGGTTGCAGGGGGGGCTTGCATTGGGGACGGGAGGCTTCCCTTGAAGGAAGCTACCTGAGCTGTAACCTGAGCCAGGCGGGGGTTGGGAAAAGTAACACCTTCTGCCCGGGAGACTGAACAAAGGAGGGAGGGGCTGCGAGGAGAGGAGTTAGTTCTTCGGAGGGCTAGGCTGGGTGGTGCAACGCAGGGAACCCCAAGCTGGGGTCTAAGCTCCCTGAACCTCCCAGAAGGGCCTAATCGAGGGGTTCGGGTCGTACCTACACGCTCTGCTGGAGACTGTATTCCTGTCATCCAATAAACCTTCTGTTTTACTGGCTGGTTAAGAGTCACAGTCAATCTCAGGAAGAGGGGTGCGGGGCCCTGACTCCCCCTTACCCCGTGACAACTGGTGGCAGCAGCGGGATCTACTGCACCCCGTGGACGGCGCTTCCTGCAGTAAGTGACTGGGGAGAAGTAAAACGAAGGGGGATTGACGGGGACCAGGCGTGCTGAAGAGTCAGAGAGAGACGGTTATCACCCCTGGGAGTGTGTGACCAGCGAGAAGGACTTTTGCAGTAACAGGGTCCCCCGGGGGATCGCAGCGAGTGGTCCCAGGGGCGGAGGAGTCTGCAGCTCGACCCTGGCAGAGAGGTGGTGACCTCGAGAAGGGCTGGCACACTAGGGGTCTCCCTGGAGACGGTGGGGAGCGGTGAGCACACGGGCCTGTGACTGGCCAGCAGGAGGATGTACGCCAAGCGGCTTAAGAGTGACCTGGTGGAGCTGTGCAAGCAGAGGGGGGTGAGCATTGGGAAGCTCACCAAAGAACAGCTCATTGCCCAGCTGGAGAAGCAAGATCGCGCGAATGAACTGATCCCTGGCGCTGAGGGAAGCAGCCTGGCAGATGCAGCGCAGGCCCCAGCGTCTGTCCCAGCTGGGAGTGGTCAGCCGGCTGCTGAGGGCTTCCTGAGACCCCTCCTTCCTATGCCTAGGGGAAGGGTGGGGAGGAGCCCAGCAAATACCGAGGGCGCAGTGACCCCCCCGGCCAGCAGGGGATCCTCCCGGCCACGCTCGCCGGCCAGCAGGGGATCCTCCCGGCCACGCGCAGCATCCGTGGAGCGGAATGAGCTGGAATGGGAGATAGAGCTAAAACTGAGAGAGCTGAAGGATCGTGAACAACAGAGGCAGCATGAAGAGAGACAGAGGCGTCATGAACGGGAGGAGAATGAGAGACAGAGGCGTCATGAACGGGAGGAGAATGAGAGACAGCGTCAGCAGGAGCTGGAGCTGGCGAGGCTGAAGGACCGCGCGACCCCGGCTGCGGTGAGTGAGGGGGGGCCCAGGACTGCACGGAGCTTTGATAAGTGCATCCTGGCCCCACGTAAGGAGGGGGAGGACATGGATGACTTCCTGGATGCCTTTGAGACGGCCTGCGAGCTGCACCAGGTTGCTCCCGCGGACAGACTCCGGGTTCTCACCCCCTTACTGGACCCCAAATCCGTGGCATTGTACCGCCAACTGGACGAGGCGGAGAAAGGGGACTATGAACTCTTCAAAAAGGCCCTGCTACGTGAGTTTGGGCTGACTCCTGAGATGTACCGGGAAAGGTTCCGGAGTCAAGATAAAACCCCTGAGATCTCATATCTGCAACTAGCCGTCCGCATGGAGGGATACGCCAGCAAGTGGGCTGATGGGGCCCAGACGAAGGAGGACCTGGTTAAACTGCTGGTATTGGAGCAACTGTATGAGCGGTGCCCACCCGACCTGAGGCTGTGGTTGGTGGACAAAAAACCAGAGAACCCGCGACATGCAGGCCGGCTGGCCGATGAGTTTGTGAAGAGCCGGGCAGGGGCTGGCAGGGAGGAGTCCCAAAGGAGCAGGCCCGCCGCGATGCAGAGAGAGAGTCACCCGGGTACCTCCCAAAGGGGGAATATGGGGAATCCCCTCCCAAGGGGAATGCCCAGCGTCAGGGACAACCGGCCGGCTCGAGGGGACCCACGGGACATGAGCTGCTATTTCTGCGGCCGAAGAGGCCACATTCGGGCCCAGTGCCCCAAGTTCAAGGACAGACTGAGCAGACCGAATCCACACCGGGTTAACTTGGTAGAGGCCCAGACGGACGAGGGGCCGGCTTCCCAGGCAGGGGGGGCTGGCAGCTTATCAACTGCTCGAGAGAGAGAAGGGCCCCAGGCCAGCTTCTCTGGGGGGCTGGATGCTCCGGACTCAAAGTTCTCCGTTTACAGGGTGGGCGCGGGGCTGCCCCTGCGGAGCGAGTGCCTTGTTCCCCTGGAGGTGGATGGGAAGGAAGTTTATGGATACTGGGACACGGGCGCAGAGGTGACACTGGCCCGGCCCGAGGTGGTGGCCCCAGATCGGGTGGTACCCAACGCCTTCCTGACCCTGACAGGGGTGGGCGGGACCCCATTCAAGGTTCCCGTGGCGAGGGTACACCTGAGATGGGGGGCCAGGGAGGGCCCCAAGGACGTGGGAGTACACCACCATTTGCCCACTGAGGTGTTGATGGGGGGGGACCTAGAGGACTGGCCAAGCAACCCCCAGACCGCCTTAGTCGTGACCCGTAGCCAGAGCCGGCGAGGGGCACTACGCCCTGACCTTGGGAAGGATGTCACATCGGAGGCACAGAACCCTACCCTGGTGGGGAGGGAACACCCAAGGACAAGGCTCGGGGTGGCTGTGGCTCCTGACCCCGCCGACGAGAGGGAGCAGGTTCCCGTCCCTTCCCCAGCTGCCGAGTTCCAGGCCGAGTTGCAGAAGGACCCCTCCCTGCGGAAGCTAAGGGACCTGGCTGACCTCAGTGTGGTACAGACCATGATGAGAGGTTGCAAGGAGAGGTTCCTGTGGGAGAAGGGATTCCTATACCGAGAGTGGGCTCCCCCAGGGGAAGTGGAGTCCTGGGGGGTCAGGAGGCAGCTGGTGGTTCCCCAGAAGTTTCGCCACAAGCTACTGTACCTGGCCCATGACATCCCTCTCGCAGGGCACCAAGGAATCCGGCGCACCAGGCAGAGGCTGCTACAGAACTTTTACTGGCCTGGGGTCTTTACCAACGTCCGACAGTACTGCCGATCCTGTGACCCCTGTCAGAGGGTGGGGAAGGCCCGGGACAAGGGGAAAGCGGCGTTGAGACCTTTGCCCATCATAGAGGAGCCTTTCCAGAAGGTGGCCATGGACATAGTGGGACCTCTCAGCAAGACGACCCGGTCAGGGAAGAAATACATTCTGGTGGTGGTAGATTTCGCCACCCGCTACCCCGAGGCAGTGCCCTTATCGTCCATCGAGGCAGACACTGTGGCAGATGCGCTGCTGACCATTTTCAGCCGAGTGGGGTTCCCCAAGGAAGTCTTGACGGACCAAGGGTCCAACTTCATGTCGGCCCTACTCCGGTGCTTGTGGGAGAAATGTGGGGTCCGGCACAACTGGGCCTCGGCGTATCACCCCCAATCCAACGGGCTGGTGGAGAGGTTCAATGGGACGCTAAAAATGATGCTGAAAACATTTATGAACCAGCACCCGCAGGACTGGGACAAGTACTTACCTCACCTGCTGTTCGCGTACAGGGAGGTACCCCAGGAGTCTACCGGCTTTTCACCTTTCGAACTGTTATATGGAAGGCGGGTAAGGGGGCCCCTAGACCTGATGAGAGCCGAATGGGAGGGGAAGGCCACTTCCGATGGAGAGTCGGTGGTGGAGTATGTCCTGACCTTCCGGGAAAGACTTGCCGAGCTCATGGGCCTGGCCAGGGAGAATCTGGCCCGAGCCCAGAGAAAGCAGAAGGTCTGGTATGACCGCACAGCGCGGGCCCGCGCCTTTGCCACCGGGGATCAGGTGATGGTCCTCATCCCAGTGAGGAAGAACAAACTCCAGGCCGCCTGGGAAGGGCCCTTCAAGGTTGTCAAGCAACTAAACGAGGTAAACTATGTGGTGGAGCTGTCGAACCGGGCACACCACCACCGGGTGTACCATGTGAACATGATGAAGCCATATCACGACAGAGGGAATATGGTGTTGGCTGTGTGTGGACATTGGGAGGGGCAGGGAGATGACCCTTTAGTAGATCTATTCCCTGGGACAAGAGCTGGCTCCCCCCTGGAAGCAATTCCCCTCTCTGATCAGCTGAGCCCGGCCCAGCAAGCTGAGATCGGAGGGGTGCTGCATCGGTACCGACAGCTGTTTTCCAACCAGCCTGGACGCACTAATCTGACTGTCCACCGGGTGCAGACAGGATCGCACCCGCCTATAAAATGCCCCCCCTTCCGGGTCACAGGGAAAACTGCTCAGGACCTGGAAAGAGAGGTCGATGACATGCTGGCTTCGGGGGTGATCCAGCCATCTTCCAGCCCTTGGGCCTCGCCGGTGGTGCTGGTCCCCAAAAAGGACGGGTCGATACGGTTCTGTGTGGACTATCGCAAGCTCAATGCCATCACCGTAGCCGATGCCTACCCCATGCCCAGGCCTGACGAGCTCCTAGACAAGCTGGGAGGCGCTCGGTACCTTACCACCATGGATCTTACAAAGGGCTACTGGCAAGTGCCGCTGGATGCCGATGCCAGGCTGAAATCGGCCTTTATCACCCCTCTGGGGCTCTATGAGTTCCTGACCCTGCCTTTCGGCCTCAAGGGAGCGCCGGCCACCTTCCAGCGCTTGGTGGATCAGCTACTGAGGGGGATGGAGAGTTTTGCTGTGGCGTATATTGACGACATCTGTGTCTTTAGCCAGACCTGGGAGGACCATGTGTCCCAGGTTAGACAAGTGCTGGACCGACTCCAGGAGGCTGGGCTGACCGTAAAACCGGAGAAGTGCAAGGTGGGGATGGCTGAGGTATCCTACCTAGGCCACCGGGTGGGGAGCGGCTGCCTAAAGCCGGAACCAGCCAAAGTGGAGGGGATCAGAGACTGGCCCACCCCGCAAACCAAAAAGCAGGTCCAAGCCTTTATTGGGATGGCGGGGTACTATCGAAGGTTCGTACCCCACTTTAGCTCCATAGCCGCCCCCATCACTGAGCTGTGCAAGAAGGGGAAGCCAGACAAGGTGGTCTGGACCGAGGAGTGCCAGGGGGCTCTCCAGGAGCTGAAGGAGGCTCTGGTCAGTGGCCCAGTTCTAGCAAACCCAGACTTTGACAAGCCCTTTATGGTGTTCACCGATGCCTCAGACACTGGACTGGGGGCGGTGTTAATGCAGGAGGATGAAAAGGGGGAGAGACACCCCATCGTGTACCTGAGCAGGAAGTTGCTACCTCGGGAGCAGAACTACGCGGCCATCGAGAAGGAATGCCTGGCCATGGTGTGGGCCCTCAAGAAACTAGAGCCATATCTCTTTGGGCGACACTTCACCGTGTACACCGACCACTCTCCCCTGACCTGGCTGCACCAGATGAAAGGAGCCAACGCCAAGCTCCTGAGGTGGAGCCTGCTCCTGCAGGATTATGACATGGACGTGGTCCATGTGAAGGGAAGTGCCAACCTGATAGCGGATGCGTTGTCCCGGAGAGGGGGCCCTGAACTTCCCCAGGTCACTGGGCAGAGTGACCCCGCTCAGTTCAGTCTCGAAGGGGGGAGAGATGTGACGGAGCAGGGAGCGGGGCAGATTTGACTTGGGAAGGTTGCAGGGGGGGCTTGCATTGGGGACGGGAGGCTTCCCTTGAAGGAAGCTACCTGAGCTGTAACCTGAGCCAGGCGGGGGTTGGGAAAAGTAACACCTTCTGCCCGGGAGACTGAACAAAGGAGGGAGGGGCTGCGAGGAGAGGGGTTAGTTAGTTCTTCGGAGGGCTAGGCTGGGTGGTGCAACGCAGGGAACCCCGAGCTGGGGTCTAAGCTCCCTGAACCTCCCAGAAGGGCCTAATCGAGGGGTTCGGGTCGTACCTACACGCTCTGCTGGAGACTGTATTCCTGTCATCCAATAAACCTTCTGTTTTACTGGCTGGTTAAGAGTCACAGTCAATCTCAGGAAGAGGGGTGCGGGGCCCTGACTCCCCCTTACCCCGTGACACCATGTAATTAGGAACTCCCTTCTGGCAGGCCTTGGAAAGAACGTGGGACTTGACTAAAGACACGTTGGCCTGGGCTGGGCTCCACACACTGGAGGGCAGCATGGGACAGCGGAGGGAGGGAAAGGAAACCAGACATTGAGACTGGCAGCATCAGCAGCGCAAAGGACACAGTACGAGGCAAGGTCTGAGACGTAGGCAGGGAAGGGCTGGGTTGAGGAGAAGATATGAACCACCTCGGTCTATACTGGTATGTTAGAAGGCTCCCGCCCCACGTGACCAAGCACCTCGCCAGTGACAGGACCCGCAGACACAACAGCCCCCGTGAGGTGGTGAGATCGCATTAGCCCTATTTGGAAAGCGACCTCAAAGTAGGCGTGGCAGGATTCGATTGTTACAGGTAACCGTTGATTTCACTGTACGCAAACTGCCGGGAAAACGTTTCCATCCACAAGTGAAATTTACAGGTAAGCAAAGTAAGAAAAATACGGGCCGAGATCTCAGCGTTTCGTTGAAAGGTATTTACTAGGTATATTTTGACATGCAATGCTGACAATGGGTTTTAATGGTTATTAAGATTTAACTCTTTGAATCTCGACATCACCTGCCATTAAAGAATTATTGTCTGACCCCCAGCATCTCCCACACCAGTTGCTTAAAACAAACATCGCCACAGTCTGTCGAAATGATAAAACAGCAGCGATTCTGCCCAGCTCACTACAAGGCAGAACTGAGACCCAGCAAGATTAAGTAACTGCCCAGGTCACACACGGCGTCGACGGCACAGCTGGGTTTGAACCCCCATCTCCTACGTGCCAGTTCAGTGCCTTCTCCTTCCCTCCAGCACATCCCGCCCCATGGAAAGGGACGGTTTCCCCATTGTCCCTGCCCCCCAGCATATCACCTACTTTTCTGGTGGTGCTGTCCCAAGACTCCAACAGATGGTTCAGGAGCAAGCTGTGGAGCCAAGGGAAACAGGTCTCAGACTCTCTGTGAAAGGGTGGTGCCGCGGGCTAGTGTCTGCGAGCAGGACGACGTCCAGCCACAGAATGCAGTGATAAGGGACGTCTCACCCCTCTCTTCCCACGGGCTGCTTTTGCTCCAGCTGTTCTTCCTCGCAATGTCCCTCCCCAGCTCTCACTTAGAAGATGTCAGGGCTGAGCTGTATGTCCCAGCCAGCCAGGCAGGCAAGAGAATATGTCCTAGTGGGCTCCATGGAGTTTCCATGCCACCCAGATGTGCTTATGGAGGTCCAATACTGCAAAGGGTCACGAGGAAGAGAAGGCCTGGACCACCCTGAAGGCAGCAGTACCTGACTCCGTGCCACTGCACCAGCCTCACAGAGTTCATGCTCCAATGAGGAGCGAAGGGGCACGTTGCTGGGACTCAAAGGAACATTAACACCCGGCCCCACTAACACAGGTGGCCCCTGCCTGTAGATAAGGGAATCTCCCCAAATAACTTCAGGAAGCCCAGCTCTGGCCTTTGCTGAAGCTGTGCAGGACGCAGCCACACAGGGAAAGCACGTTAGCCAGGCTGGCTGTGCACCGAGCCCACAGCTCTGCTCAGACAGCTGCTCTCGGTTTCAGGAATTTTATCAGAAGGGCTCATGTTCCCGACAGTCAGCATCCCGGCTTGGCTAGGGGATTCTGACAATTACCCCAACGCTCCAGCCCAAGACTTGGACACAAGCAGACACACTGGGCTATCAGTTGAACTGCCGCTCTCCAAAATCATTTCTTGTTAAGCTCCTCAGGCTCGTTGTCAGCTCCTCCTGGGCTCGCTGCCATCCCAGGGCGGGTACCTCCCTCTGCCCGCCGCGCCCACCCCGTTAGAACATCAGCTGTGCCCACTGTGTAGCCCACGTCCTCCAGAACAGACGCTGAGCCACGCCCAGGCGAGAGCAAGTGGATCACCTGCCTCCTGCTGACTGCCCAAAGCCCAGCCAAGCGTGTGCACAGCCTACCTGGACTGGGAGAGGTGTTTCGTGTACAGCTGCCGCCAGACGCTGAAGCTCAGGGCGTCCATGCTCAGGCACTCGCTCAGGCAGATCAGGAGCTGCGCAGGAGGAAAGCAGAAAGACGGGATGGCTGCTTGTTACAACCAACGTGTCTCCAGTCCTCCCTCGGAGACGCTCAGTTCAGTCACGCTACGCCCGGCTCTGCAGCTCCGCTTGCCAGGCCAAAAGCTGCGCACCTGCTTGTTGATGGAGTTTGGGACCTACGTGCACGTGACCTGATGAGCAGCCACAGCTCTCACTGGAGCTCACAGCAGCTCTGAAAACCAGGCCCACTCGCCTCCCCGCTAACGAGACGGCGTTTCTGCTCGGGTGGCAGTATTTGGCTTCCCCAGCTGATAGACCCAGCCCTGGGTCAGCGCGCCATCTTGGACCACCCAGCACCACTATGCAGTTCAGGTTATTCCTCAACCCTTTTCTCTAGTCTTGTTCTCCCATCTCTCTAGCTACCTACTTACAACGTACTAATCGCCATGGTATCTAGGCACTGGACCCCTCACACCTGTACTTCCCTCAGAGCACAGAAAATGGGCCTCGGCCCTTTTTTGCTTTGTTGTGATGGATAAAGAAGTCCTGAAAGGTGTTTTGTTAAAAAAATCCCTTTTTCTGCCCCGTCTTTCCTTCGAGAGATCTGCACAAACAACTCAGATCATCCTCACTTCACTGGGGGGCTGCAGTGTGAGCGGAGCTTTCTCAGCCCTTATCTGATGGGCTGAGGGGGATGGGTCTCTGCACCAAGAGCTTTTCTCCCAGCTGCTAGGAATGATCAGATGTTAAAAAACCAGCTTAGAGCACCCAGAGAATTCCCATCTCAATCTGGTTTGCTTTGCTAGGTCTGCTGTCAGTCCTAGCGGTTCTCCAGACAGCCCTACACGTCTCCCCGGAGCGATACAGTGGACAAGACTTGAACGTTTAACAGAAGAGCTAAGCAGAAGGCCAGTGTTTTTAAAAGCCTGTCAGACCTTCTTTATCCACCCTAAGGCAGGAAGAGAGGCACAAGTCCACCCCCGCCCCCCTTGTTAAGGCAGCTCTCTGGATTGGCTGGAACCAGGCTTGAAGAACTCACCCATGGGGGCATCCCGGCCCGAGGCGTGCCGACCTTGCCTCACTTGGCTCCCACCCGCCCCTCCCTGGGGATCCGCACAGAAATCTCCCGCTCAGTCAAGAGCCCCCTCGCATGCCCAGCCCGGCCGTGCCAAGAACAAAGCCGAGCCCGACCACTCTGCCGACTCCCCAAGCGCTCACCTCATTTCTCATGTCGGCAGGACAGTTTGGAGTGGCTCTGGACAGGAAGGAGGGGAAGTAGGTGTGCAGCGTGGTCTCAGGTTTAGCGCCAAACGCCAGCACTTTCAGCCTGGGGTACAACTGGCGTAACTGCTCCTGCAGGCTGAAGGACAGATCACATGAACACCTCTGCCCTGTGTGCTCAGCTTCACTGAGGCACACTGAACACATGGCAAGGCAGGGCGCGCGCTCCTGGGAGCCAGGAGCCGGCTCTCCAGTGGGGCTTCTGGCGAAGCGCGATTGTTCTCTCCTCCCAGGATGCACCGAGCGTTACGATCCCAGCCAGTGCGAATGTGGGAGCTCGTGTCCTGCTCAGGACCATGGGGAGGGGTGGCGAGCAGCCGCAGTTTCAGGAACATAACATTAGGACAGGCTCCCCTTGGCCAGTGTATCTCCTCTTCCAAGCCCCTCGCCCTTCCCCCGTCATTCTCTTGCTTTTCAGTTCCAGCCTCCTCCATCTGCTCAGCCTTCACCGACTCGCCCTTCCTCCCAAGGCTCTCTAGACTCGGGCCCTCACGCACTCCCCCCGCCCCCGAGCCTGAGGAATGGCACTTGTGCATCCAGCTGCTGTGACACGGCTTTCCCTTGGACAGGTGCAATGGGAGCTTCCAGCACGACACACGCGCCCCAGCTCCCTGTCTGAAGAACAATCTGGTCTTCAAACTGACCGTGAACCAGGCCCCCTTTCATTCATTCACAGCGTGTCTACCACACATACAGGCAAGCCTCGTTAGTTACAGAAAAGAACTCCGTTATTGAACCAACAAAAGTCAGGTAAATGAAGATACCAGCAGTCGCTCTCCTGAGCCCACGCCAGGTCCCCAGCTAGCGCCGCCTGCCTGGTAGGACATCTCACATGCTGCGGGCACCTGCCCAGCCAAGCTGCTTTTCTCACTACCCATTTCTCCACTTGCTTGAAATAAAGCCCCAAGGGTTGCAAGTCACCATTCCTGTATCGAGACCATGGGCAAGTCAGCCATACCTGGGTGATAAGGAGTTGTTGGGCATAAAGGCAAAGTCCAAGAGTGGGAAAAAGTCCTTTGGTCCAATCATGCCAAAGCCTTTGGTCAGGTTAGCGTGCGTCCTGCAATGGAAAAACGTCAGGACAGAGGTTACAGGAGTCATGTCACTGCAGGCAGCAGACAGATGGGAACCCCCGGGGGAGCTGGTTCCAAGGACTGTGCATGCTTCTCCCCCCACCACCCTCCCATCACGAGCACCTGAGCTCCAGGATTAGACACGAGATTCAATCCAAGCTGCCTGATTTCAAAATGGGAACATCAAACAAATCAGCCTGTAAAGCATCTCCTTTTGGACCCTCGGCAATGTGAGGCTGCTTTGCTGTCAGCAGAATTTTCCCCGCTTGCTAACGCTCTTCCAAGGGATTGCTTCCGAAACAGCAGCAGCTGGTATGAACATTCACCACATTTCAGGCCTCCAACGCAGGGAAGGTGCCAGTTCACTCTGAGAACACAGCTGCCATGGGAGCGGAGTGCGTGGGTTTCAGAATCACCCCGCGTCTATTTCAGGCCCAGTTTCGCTGTGACACATCACTGGCTGCTGAACAGGTGGAGAGTTGTCTTGTATATTCTGCAGCACTTTGTTCTAAGCAAAGAACCAAGCCCCTTGCCAGCTGCTCTATGGGCCCAACTCTGAAGCAGTATTAAAGGCTGCACCTTACACCACCCCATGCATCTGGAGACTACAGATCTGAGGCCGTGAGCTAAGGATCACTGAGCCGGGAGTAGATTAGCACCCCCAGGAACTCCGTCAGGGTTGCGCTGATGCTGTACTTTTCACTCCCACTCTCCCAGCATGTCGTCTTGTGCAGTACACACTGTCTTTTGTTTCTACGCACTCAGCATTATACCAGACCGGCCTTTGACGAAAGTCTCTCTCTCACACACTCACCCCCACCCCCTTTCTTCTTTACAGGCAACACACAAAGGAAACAATGGGCTTGTGCACTTGTTTGCTTCTTTATAATGAAGGGCTGGAATGGGGAGGCAAGAAAGGTGTTTGTGCTGGTTTCTAACATTAGGAACATAGGCCGTATCTACTCGTCCTGGGAGTCTATGGACAACCAGCTCCCTGGCAGGACAGTGGCAATGGAGATAGCATACAGTGAAACCTGCCAGAAGGGCTGGACTGTTTACTCAGGCTTCCGAAGGCTGAAGAATCTGGAGAAACACCCCCCAAGATCTGGCTCACACATGACAGATGTGACGTTCCCGAGGGAAAAGACAAATGGGGGGAAACCCCTTATTTAAAGTAAAAGCTTTTCAGGAATTCTCTTCTGTTGCTCTATGGTGGCTAAAGAACACGTCCCCTTTATCCTTCACATGGCTTCTCTAGAGCCCGTGCCCTAAAGCAGGGAATGGAGAAAGGACATCTTGGGGACTGCATGTCGTCTGCCCTCCAAACTTCTACGCTACAGGTGAAAACGGCTATTGTGTGGCTGTCTGCACAGCAATGAGCCCACGCTCACAGTCCTCATTTCCACCAGTCTGCGGGAACAAGAGAAACCTGGCTCCTGTCTCTGAAGGAGGGGAAAGGATAATTAAAGAGCTAGAGGCTGTAGGCAGCCAGAGGCATTCGCGAGAGCAGCTCTCCCCCAGCTGCAGTCTAGATTCAGCCTATTCATTGTGGAGCCCATCCCTGAAAAAGTCTGTTCACCCCCTGCATAAAGCAAAGGAGCTTTCCCGTCTCCTGGGCGCACTTCCCCTCTTCTTCTGTGCCCACCATTTAGCCCCCGGCGTTCTCTCGGGAATGGACAGTGCACAGCCTTTGAATAATGACCCCACCATGTTCCACTAATGCGCCGCTGCACGGCCCGGCTAGCTCGGCGATGATCTGATGTCTGTCCCCGTAGTACCGGCACAGCTTCCCCCCTCGGCTACTCCGCAGCCTCTCTTCCCAGGCCCTTCAGCCAGATATGCCCTGCACCTTTTTGGCAAGGATAATTAGATAAACTTGAACCCAATTCATCTTCTGCTGCTGAGATGTCTAGTCCCGGGCTCTTTGTTGCTGGTGCCAGTGTTCAAGGGGTCAGTGATAGTTCCATTGGGCTGTTAATTATAGGACCTACTACACCAAAATGAGGCCATAAACCTGTAATCCTAGTTTATGGATTCATGCAACACTCAGTATTTGTTAGCACAGGAATCTTCACCCAACACCCAGCCCAAGCGCAGCCGGGGGGAGCCTGCTCCATTCTCTCCCCAGGTTTGTCAAACACAAATGAGCACAGTTGCACAACAGAAGTGTCACCCTCCCACACACTGCGGTTGGGGAATTTTCAGTTGTTTTCAAGAGACAGAATGTCGTAACTAGGCACTAGGTAGCAGCAGCGGGACGGACACGCACTCCATCTGCACAAGTCAATGTGTCGGCTGCCAGCACCTCCCACACCCAGTGAGCAGTCCACAACAGACACAGCCCAGTGAGCTCACTGACTCCCTATGAAAACTGGCCAAAGCTGGGTTCTCTCTCGTGTCACTTGCTTTAGATCTGGGTTGCTGCATTAGCAGCTGGCCAGGAACGCGAGGGCTGGACCTTATCGGCATCCAACGACGCAGCTCGCAGCTGTCCCAATCTCTGACCCAGGGCTGCTTGATGCTGAATGACAGTGTTCACTTCTCGCACTCCCTGCTCCTGAAGGAGGAGCAGAACACAGCCATTGATTCTCCAGAGGAGACCATGGGACACTTAGAACCAATCCTGCTCCTCAGCTATCCAGGGCTGCCAGGGTTCTGGCTTCAGGCAGGGAGTAGTCAGCACCGAGTTACAGAAAACAGACATGCTAAAGGCCAAGATAACGAGATACAGTTATTACCGATACTTCGTTTAGACACTGTCACCCCACTGAGGCGGAGGTCATGGGTCAAACCTCACTGCAAGTCTAGGGAGCGTCACGTTTCCAACGCTATGCCAGCGCGACACACCGTCAAATCCCTGGTGAGGGCAGGAGCTCCCATCCCACTGGTCAAACTCGAATATGCACACTCCAGGTTCTTAATGTCAGCATGGCCCAGGAACTGCTGTACACGACAACTGGGGCAGGCTTTATCCTTAACGGAGAGAGACCAATCAAATTCAGCTATAACTCACATCAGCAGCCGGTCCAAGTAGGCAATCGCATACGGGGAGAGGGACTTGATCCCCAGCACTGGAAGCATAATGCCAAGCCACACTGCATGAAAGGAGAAAGCTATTAGAACACCACAGGGAGGACTCTCTGAAGCATTTCCTACCGACTGTCCGGCAACGCGACCAGCGTAAAAAGTAGGTATTTATCAGAGCTACTCACCTGCCTGACGCTATCTGGGTCCAAAAGTGTGACCCAGACAGCTCTTGAAAGAGACAGGCAGGGAGATTAATGTTTTAAAGGGCCAGGTGAGTGAGTGAGTGAGTGAGTGAGTGAGTGAGAGAGAGAGATTAACTGAAGGTATTATGCTCTCTCCACAATTCTGTTTACCCACGTCAAGTATCCCACAACACACTGCAAAGCTGAAGTCAGCGTTGGCATTAGAAAATAGGCAGCCTGTCAAAGGCAGGATACAGGAATGGTGTGTCCTAGCACAGGCTGGGATGGAGCTCTGCACCAGCTGGTTGGGAACGCGGTATCCAAAACAGAGCTAAGAAAAGTACCGAATAACACAACAGTTGAAGGAACTGTTACAGACTGGTGGGCTTGATAATGGCAAAGAGCTTTGTAACGTATACAGATCAGACTACAAATACCACCAGCTAAAATGCGTACCTTCGAAGCTCCCCTGCGTAAGGGGAATATTCTGGGAGAAAAGAATTGCTTTCCAGAAGGAGGATACGTATGCCTCCTTTTTTGTATTGTGCCATTTTGCTTTGACAATCAATGTGATTAAGGCTACATCTACACTGCAGCTCTTGCCAGCATAACTTGTCACTCAGGGGTGTGAATAAACCAACCCCTGAACGACAAGTTACGCTGGCAAAAACGCTCATGTGCACAGCGCTACGTCGGCAGAAGAGCTTCTCCTGCTGACAGCTTCTGCCACTCGCAGAGGTGGGATTTTTATGCCGATAGGAGAGCTCTCTCCCGTAGGCACAGATCGTCACAGCCGCAGCACCGCAGCGCTGTACGTATAGACATGGTCTAAGTTTGGTTCTTTGGTCTCTCGAACATTTTTAAGAATGCACCGTGAGTTTCCAAAGAAGTTAGGTGACCCCGGGCTTTTACTGTTGAAAATGATTTACCCCAGCAATGAAGAAGTCATGAAAGTGAGGTAAGAGAAAGCTAATCCCATTAGAGAGAGGAGCCTCACCAAACATTTACAAGTCTTGCATGAATTATTTGGGGTCCCTCACCCACCGCGTCCCACAGCGGCATGCCTGCAGTGACCTGCCTTTGCTATCTCCGGTATGTGTCCTGTTTTCAAGTAGAGCAAAGCAAGTGCATGAGTGGAGATTAAGTTCATTCCCTGGATCTCCCCAGACTGCATCTTCTGGACTAGGCAGCTCATCCCATTCTTACCTTTCAGTCCTTCAGTGAGGTCTGTGAATCCAGCTTGTCCCAGAGCCCACATGATTGTGAGGCATTTCATTGGCCTGTTCTGATGGGACCGTAACAGCTCTAAGTACTGAAGGGAAAATGAAACACGTTAAATTAATTTAAGAAAACTCCACAGCTTCCCTCACCCCATAACATTCTACCAAGAAAAGGCAGGGAAAGGCTCAGAGCAACATTTTACAAATTTGACCCGTAGCTAAGCCGCTTTGTGCCATGGCTTTGACATAGGAATTTGGGGACAGGAAACAATACGACAAGAGTAGCTGAAACAAATCTGAAACTGAAGTGTTTGCACGAAGAGAGAGAACTATACAAGATTCAAAACAAAAAAAAGTCATAACACGAGACTAAAACAGAGGGTGTATTTTATATTTAGTGTCAGGCATTCCCCCAGGTGCAACTAAACGCAGCAGTATCAAAGCAGATATATTGCTTCAAAAAACAGGAGGGGAACAAATATGTGGTCCAGCAGCAAAAGAGCTACCAAAATTAGGCTGCAAATGCCCTCTGTATAGGGTTAAAGGCCACAAGAGAGACACACGCCGAATAAATCAATGCTACCTGCAAGTGCATTTAAGATCTAAGTGAGCTGCCACTAATCTTATTAGCCCCAGAAGCTGAGACAGGCAGCGGGGGAAAAAGTGAAAACCTCGTGAGAAGCCACTGCTGTCTTTTCAGTGCTGTGCACTCGGTTCTCTCCACATCAGTTACTGGTCCCCACAGACTCTGGGCTTCAACTGCCCACAAATACTCAGACATACTGAAACAGCTCCACATTCTCCCCACACCCAGACTTAGTGCTAGGCCTCGCCCACATACACAGCTGCAGTCCCTGCCCTGACCAGATTACACTTCAAGACAAGCTATAACAAATGGATGCAAAAGACAAGAGGAAAAGACTGGAGAGAGCCAGGGGCCTGCCGTAAGCTCAAGCCGCGACAGACGGGCTAGGAGCACAGCAGGATCCTGCTCAGTCATTTAGAAGGATTTGGGTTTTTTTTAAACAAACAAATGAGAAGCTGCCCCTACCTGCCCCCTCCCCCAGTACAACTGTCCCCAGCCGGATGATTTATTCTAGCTGTGAGCAATGGGAAGGACAGGAGGCAGGCTGAACAAATCACATTAATGAACCCGGACTCAGAGGCTTGGGAAGTGGCCTAGTTCTTCATTTCCTGATTCTCAGTTTCATCAGCTGAACAATACTTATGGCCCCAGAAAGGCAGTGTAGTAAGAGGAGGCCCTGAGACATAAACCCTTGGTATCAGAGGCCCGGTATGAGGCCTGAGGCCTGAACTGAAGTAATGGTCAAGACTTCGCTAACATAGAGCAAAGTTAAGCTGTGAGCCAGAGGCAGGCCCTGCTCACAAAAGTCGGCAAGAAGAACGCTGCTAATTGAACATATACACATATCTAAAGTGTATCAAGTACTAATAGGATAAACACGGGCCAGGATGGCACCAGAACATTCCGGTACAAACACATTCCACAGAGATAATGAGGAAGAGGCTGACCCATCCTAAAGACACAGTCAAAAGGATAATATGATGGATAGACTTGTTTGTTCGAACATGTACCAGGAGAAAGGCAGCACCCCAACACGCAGAGGGGTTGTACCTCAATACGTCAGGAGTGATGTGTAACTTGTTTGTACCTGTGTATAAGAATGCACCCCTGAGTGGACGTCTTTGTCCTGCCTAGGGGGCAGTGGAGAGTCCCGCCACTGACTGAGCCGGTCCATTGTCAGGGGACACTATATACTAGCAGAACCGTAGACATCTGATCCGGGGAGCTAGAGACTGTTTTGTTTGGCAATAAACCTGGCTACCTTATCAGAGTCTGTGGTCATTGGGGGTTCTCTGGGTTTGCTGTGTCAGCGATCTGCAGAGCCGGGGCAGCTCACAGAGGGAACACACACACGCAGCCAACTGTTATCAACATTGAACAGACCAGAGCACCACACCGGTGGCATCTGATGACACTGGTGACCCCAACCGCTGATCTGGTGAGTAAGCGAGCTGCCCGCTGTAGGAATCATGATCTAACATGGCAGAAAACCACGAGCTAGGGAACCCCCTTAATCCCTCCCTGCAAATCCCGACAGAGTTTAAAAAATATAATGGGGAAGAAACATGGAATTAAATTTGTACGGCTAGGGCAGAAACTGTAGCCTTGAAATGTAGAATATTGCAAACTATAACCATGGGTGTTAAAGGGTTAAGACAACATGCCACAAAATTGGTGGGGCAAGTAACAGAAACAAAGAAAGCGTTAAAAGAATCAGCAGATGCTACAAAGCCCTGGACTGCTCTCTCTCCTTGCGGGGCGGCAAGCAGTCCACAAACAACCAGCACAGGAACAGAATCAAACACTGGAAACAGCTGCAAGGAACCTACACAAAATACATGTGCCGTCCCCTGTTATAAATATTGGTGATAAACAGCAGGCTTCCGGTAGCTCCCCTGTGCCTGAAGAATGGGGACAGAAGTGGAAAAAGGTGGCCCTAGTAAAATTAAAAGATGAAACGGGGTCCACTGCATTGCAACCACCACCTTATGATAAAAGCCAGGTTCTGGTAAAACCTAAACTGGGACCTAGACTGGTGCCTGTCAGAACAGGACAAGTAAGTGCACAGAAGGAAAAAGTAGCACACAATACTTTCACTGAATTGGTAAATCAAATGAAGGAAAATATGGAACAGTTCACAGAGCACATTAGGAGACAGGAGCTGTGACACGATCGCAGGGGAGTGAATAAAAAAGAATTTCAAAGTAAAAAACCAAAATTAAGTGGGTTAACACCTAGAATTGATGTATTAACACATGGAGTTGCCCAAAACCAGTTAACTGCAGCAAAAAAGGGCACTCCTGCAATCCATTTGGCATGCACACAAAAGCAACAGACACTGGGGGAACAAATTCAGGTTTTACAAGAGCAGGTAACTACCCCCACTCTCCTCTCAAAGCCAGGATAAAAACCAGGGGTGCAGTTCCCAACTGTGCTGGTTCCCAACTGCTTTGACCCACAGAACCACACTCCGCGCTCGTATCTAAAAATTTAATCTTCTTTCTCAAATATTTTTAATCGGTTAAGTTTTTTCCTTTATATGCTTCCTCAGTTTGCTAAACTCGCTGCCGCCGCCTGTACTTTCAAATACACCTCTATCTCGATATAACGCTGTCCTCAGGAGCCAAAAAATCTTACCGCGTTATGGGTGAAACTGCGTTATATCGAACTTGCTTTGATCCACCGGAGTGCACAGCCCCGCCCCCCCGGAGCACTGCTTTACCGCGTTATAGCCAAATTCGTGTTATATTGGGTCGCGTTATATCGAGGTAGCGGTGTACCTTGATAGAGTTAATCTCTCTTGACTCAGGTCTCGCTACCTTCCTAGGTTGCTCTTCACTCCCCCCTTTCCCCCGCCTCTCCTCACTTCAGCTGTCTGTCTCTGTTTTAAAAGTCAAAAGTTATAGTTTTTACAGAAACCTCCAAAAGATAAAGCAACTGAAAACAGAACAAAACAAGAAAAAAAGAAAACAAGATAAAAACTTTACTTTAAATAAATCCAATAAATTGATTATTTTAACCCTTCAGGAATGCAACAGCTGGAATTATTCCTAACTTTCTTGAAGATATGGTTATCTGATACCAAGGGTTTATGGTTCAGGGCCTCATTGATTACAGGCAGAATAACTGATGCTTCTTAGGTGATGCCTAGTCAACGAATGTGGGAATTTTCTGTAATGTTTTTATGATCCATATGCCAGCTTCGGTAGCCCTGTGCACTTGGTACTGCTATCCACTGAGGCCTGGCCTAACTTTCCTCAACGTAACGACGTCGCTCAGGGGTGTGCAAAATCCACCCCCGAGTGACACAGCTAAGGCAACCTAACCCCGGGGTGGACGCAGTTAAGGCGACCTAACCCTCGGTGTAGATGCGGCTAGGGCAACAGAAGGCTGCTTCCATCAACTGAGCTACTGCTGCTCGGGGAGACAGATACGTCAACGGAATCACCCGTTCTGAGGCTGCTGCAGTATGGCTACAGTGCGGCAGCTGTGCCACTGTCCCGCCCGTAGTGCAGGCATTGCCTAGCTGGAAGCAGACTCTTCGCAAGGACTCGCTCCAATCCACACGTGTGACTGGAGAATCTGGAAGGCTCAATGGAGCAGCAGAGAAGAAAAGACCTAAGCTGGAAACCAAAGAGGGAGTCGGGTGTGGACAGACATCTCTCAAGGGGGTCTGCTGGGACAGAGACCGAGAACAGAGCAATCCTACCCTGCCAGGAGCGGCGGCAAGAGACCACTGGTTTTCCCCAGTATCCTAGTTCTCGCAAGCAGGTGCACGGCACATGAGCCGTGTGAGAAAGAAGCTCGCACAGCCCCAGGACGCAATATGCCTGACTCTGCTGTTAGTGCCATTAGCCCCTCACTTTTCTAAACACACTTACATTCAGAAAAGAGGTCCAGCTCAAACGCCTGTCAGCCTGTTTGTTGCCGATACAGGGCCTCAGCAAGCTCCCCCGGCCGCTGCGCAGCACAGGGACCGGGGCAGACAGCTGCATCCCAAAGGGAAACCGAGCGAGTCACTGTGGAGGCCTGGGGGTTGGATTTTTTAACATTCATTAAAGAAACTGCCTGTTCCACAGTGGCTCACGGAAACCTTCAGAGCCAGGCCAAAGAGCAATTTTATGGCGGGACAAAGGGGGGAAGCTCATAGCATCCAGCTAACTCCAGGTTTTCCAGGGTGTGGCCTTCCAGCACTCAGCCGTGCCATCCAATTCTCACAGGTGGGGCCCCATCCACTCCTGCCTTTTCTTCTTCTTAAAACAAACCATGAGAGGTCACATAAAAGTGAAACTGTGGTTTGGTCTGGGTCACAGGAACACAGGGTTCAAACTACAATGGGCCAGAAAAGCAGCGTCACAGCACAATGGGATAGCACAAGACGGAGCCACAGCCCAGGGCACAACCGTAGTGACCGCGTGGCCCACGTGCCAAAGTCAGTGGCGTTCGTTTGCTTTGAATGAGTGCGATATTAAAAAAGTGGATCTCATCTCATCACTAATTAACACCAATAAGCAAAGCTAACGGGTAAACTTCCTTCTTCACTCTCTCTGGCCCACAGACAAGAGTGCAGTGCCCTCTAACAGGGAAACAGGTTACTAGACAGGAATGAGATTCTTCAAGGGAGTGGCACAATGTGGTACCTGTATTTACTGGGGCTCTACGTGTCTGGGCGGGAGCACTGACATCCACCTGTTTATGGTGGGCTATTTCTACCCTCTGGAAACTTTCCGACCACGTCCCTTTCGGGAAGGCAGCTGTCAGGAATATACTCTATCTCAGTAGCTCTCAACCTTTCCAAACAACCAGGAGTCTGGTTTGTCTTTCGTACCCCCAAGTTTCACCTCACTTTAAAAACTACTTGCTTACAAAATCAGACATGAAAATACAAAAGTGTCACAGCACACTAGTACTGACAAATTACTTACTTTCTCGCTGTTACCATACAATTATAAAACAAATCGATTGGAATATAAATACTGTACTTACATGTCAGTGTATAGTGTATATAGAGCAGTAGAAACAAGTCAGTGTCTGTAAGAAATTTTAGTTTGTACTGACTTCGCTAGTGCTTTTTATGTAGCCCGTTGAAAAACTAGGCAATCTCTAGATGAGTTGATGTACCCCCTGGAAGAGCTCTGCGTACCCCTGGTTGAGACCCACAGCTCTATCTGAATTAGCCATCAGTATGTTCTATGCGTGCCGGTCAGCACAAGGCACGTGGCTCTCTCCACTAAGCTGAGCAGATCCCTTGTGGCTCACGAAGCACGAGATCTTTCTGAAGGACCGGCCGGACCCGCTGGGTAGGGGGGAATCGCTGTTCGGTTTTACAAGCAGGCCAGCCTAGTAGCTGGAGACACATTCCACTCACCTTGCCCAGATTCACTGTTGCCATTTTAGGCTTGTCCAACACCACTGCCTGTATGCAGATCCGGTATCCATGCAGCGACTCCCCTGCAAAACACGCCACACCAGACTCAGACTAAGCGGGAGTCCCAGCAGCTGGAGGTTATGTTGCTTTTAAACACATCTCCCTCCCCCCCCAACAATGTCCAAAAATGGAAGGGTTACCCCCCATCCGCCGCCAAACAGCACACCCAGCTGGGTTCACACAACCCGCTCCCTGTCCAGCAGCACTCGCTCTCTCTCACCCACTAAGCCTTTCATAACAGAGGTGGGGTCCAGCATAATGCTTTGGGGTCCGCTTCCTTCTGAGCCACTCTCCTTGCTTTCCATTCCCATTCTGGGTCCCTCCCTCTGATCTCAGCGGTGCTGTGAGCACACACCTGCCTCTGCTAGACGGGAAGCACAGTCCCACCCTGGGAGATAATCACCCCCACTGTGGTGAACCCCAGCAGCCCCTGCCCCACCCACTCCACAACCGAGTCACCAATAGCGTCTCCAGGCAGAAAAACCTCCTGCCTAGCCCAGGCTTCCAAGGAATGCAGAGGTGGCTGCTGCTGGCTCCCAGACAGATTCTGCCCCGGGGTAACTCAGTGGAGCAGCCTGGGGCTAACCCCACCCCCGTTTAAATGAAAAAGGGAGAAGGGGGAGGGGAGCAGGAAGACAGTGGCCGGTGATGGTTATGAGAAGCAGCTCATTCATTCCTTATTGCTTCACTATGATCACGAGGCGTGCACACTCTGCAGCACTAAACCTGTGGCAGCTCCCTGTGAATTAAAAAGTGAAGGTGGAAGCAGCACAGGAAGCGCCTTCCGATTGTGGGATCAGCACATGACTGGAATGGCTCTGCTAAAATGATCAGCAGTGAAATAGTTAATGTTAGTATTTATGTTATCTTTAGGTTTCAGAGTCAACACTCGTTGAGACAAATGAGGCAATTCACACCTCTCAGAGCTATTGTTTCAGGCAGCCCACAGATTTACAAATCGACAGCATCAGTTCACACGCTGGTCACATGTTCTCGGTTTTCTTATTTAAACAGCTCAGGTTCTGGATCTGTTGGCCGGGGAGGGGGATGGACGGACGGACTGGGACTGCAGCAAACTTTGCAGCCACAAGACATGCAGCCCCCCAGCAATGACGGCGTGCACACTGCAAGCCTCATATCATGATCACTCTAGGCTTGCTTTTGAAAGCTTTGGCGTGTGCCAAAAATACAAGGGAAAAAAGGGGCTGGGAGGAGGGTATTTTCTGGGAGGCGTTCTCAGCTCAGGAATTCCCTCCCTGCCACGGTCCAATAGAGCCCAAATCTAAGCTGCAACTATCAGAAATGCAAATCAATCAGACTAGGTTTCCCCCCAGCAGTCGGCACGCTTTACCATACAAGCTGTTAGGATGGCTGCTAGTGATAAACAGAAATACAGAGAGATTCCTGTAGCTTCAAAACCTTCCTCAGCCCCAGAATGTCTCAAACCTACTAGCTCTAGGCTGGGCCTGTGAATGAGCTTCCTGCACGAGCAGCTCTTGGAACAACAGAACACAGGCAGTGCCTGTAGCCTAGAGATCCACTGAACTGACCGGGCTCTGGTCCAGTTGGCTCTTACCAGGAGTTTTGTCCAGCTCTTGCAACATCGTATAAATACAGTGATCGAAGAAGAGCTCCAGCACGCTGGAGGCTTTCACTAGCAGGGACTTGATGATGCTTCTCAGCTCCTTGTTCACGAGACTGTAGGGGTAATCTGGAGCCAGAAGAACACACAAGTGTGAGGGAATTTCATGGGCCCACATTAACGCATGCTACTATCAACGCTTGCAAGTGGCTTCAAGGAAACATGGCAATCCCAGACCATGTGCAATGCAGGGTCAACAAGCAACTCTTATTCTCAGTTATGCCAGAGTACGTGTGCGGAGTTTAGGAATAAAAAGATTATTTTCTAACTGCTGGTTTCACCGGAGTCACGTGGGATTTGGGGGAAAAAAACCTTGCAGTTCTGCCTCTGTCTTCTAATCTACAGGAACGAGTGCTGCATTCAGAACCTCGGTGGTTTGGCAATGCATAAAGCAGAAGAGACTCCTGCAAATAATCTCTCTTTACAATTGTCCCTTTCAAGACAGATGAACAGAGACCTTTGTATTCAGATTCTTGCTTGCAGGTAGACCGTGAACCACCAATGGAGCAAGTCATGCTGGCCTGTGATTAAATCCCAGGCATCAGCGGTGCTCCAGCAGTGGGTTAGCAAGGACCACAGGGGTTCTTAAACTGCAGGTGGGAATCGGCTGGGGGGTCACAAGTATATGCACAAAACAGAGAGCAACTGCTATAAACTAGATCACTTCAATCTAGCGTTTCAGAAAGTCACACACACCTTTCCATCGCAATGTAGTGCATTTACTTCAAAAAGTCCTGTAAACATATAACGCAGCAACCACTGTTCCTAAACAAAAGATACGTTTGTAGTATCACCACCTTCAGGAAGCTGGACTCTGATCATTGTGGTATTGTGAGCGCAGGTTTGTTGTTTTGAGACTAAAAAGGTGGGACTGAGACAACATTAGAGGCCTTGACTGTTCAGCAGCTGAAGAGCTGCATTAAACCGCAGACCAATCAGAACACTGAGAACAGCAAAAAAAGTAATTTATAATGTAACAGTCAGCCACACAGGCGGGGTGGTGCTGGGGGGGAGCCCTTGCAGGGGCAATAGCCACTCCAAATCTGCCTTAGCCCCCCCACCCAGAGCCAACCTTCCCAGCACACATGTCAAACGTTGCACAGAAGTAAGGGCGGCATGGCATGGCATTGCCACCCTTACTTCTGCAGTCCTGCACTACTGCTGCTGGTGGCAGCGCTGCCTTCAGAGCTGGGCATCCAGCCAGCAGCCACCGCTCTCCAGCCACCTAGCTCCGAAGGCAGCACGCCGCTCCTGGCCGTGGCGTGGCTTTCAGAGCTGGGAGGCTGTGAAAAGTGATTAACAAACATACAAATATCACTTTTCACAGCAGACTTAGCGCCCCATTGCCACCCTTACTTCTGCGCTGCTGCTGGCGGCGGGACTGCCTTCAGAGCTGCCCGGCTCTGTAGCTGCGCCTCTGTCAGCAGCAGCGCAGAAGTTAAGGTAGTAATGGGGCGCGAAGTCTACTGTGAAAAGTGATATCGACAAAGTTTCTTTGTGTCCTCCCCAGTATTAAACAGTAACTATTTAACAAATTAACATTCATCCTTTAACAATCATTCAATAAAAAATGTGTTTTAGTCTTAATTTAAAAGCAGTGAGAAAATGTAAATTCATTTTGAACAGGGTTATAAATTTAGCATTTAAAATAGTGTTAAATATAAAAAGATGTGTCTAATGTATCAGAGGAGTTGCAATCAGAGGCTTGCTGTTTGAAAGGGGTTGCCAATACAAAAAGTTTGAGGATCACGGCCACGCAGGAACTTTGCTGCCCAATTTTAGAACCACAGGTGAGAAAATGTAGGCTCTTGTGGAGCAGGTAGGATTAAGGAAAGTCACTGATTTGCCAGTCCTCTGCCATGTGCGAAGACAGTGACTTTTGAACTGGCATATCTAGCCATGGAATTACAGAAGGATACAAAATGAAGCACATGCCCC